GGCCACAGGAAGACTTACGAGGCCACAGGATGTCCCAAGAGGCTCTAGAAGACCTTGGGAAACTCCAGGAGGCCTCAGGAAGGCCTAGGAGGCCCCAGTAGGCAACAGGAAGCGCCAGGAGGCCCCAGAAGGCAACAGGAGGCCCCGAGAGGCCCCAGGAGCAGGAGGCCTCAGAAGGCAACAGGAGTGGCTCCAATCCCATGTGTTTTACGCACTTTCCTATAGATTGGGCCTCACCTGGAGCACGAATCCTTGATGTTATACGGGTGTGTGTGTATATATATGTGTATATAAATATGGATTGTCCTTCTCTTGTGTGTACAATCCTAACTGTTGGCCGTATGTTCATATAGATTGGGCCTCCCCTGGGCACGAGTCCTTGGTGTTTCACGCGTGTTCCTATAGATTGCCCTTCTCTTGCGGATCCAATCCGCAATGTTCCTATATGTTGGGCCTTTCTTGGGGCACGAATCCTCCGTAGGAGGTCCCATGAGGTTCTAGGAGGCCCCAGGAGGCCGCGCGAGGCTCCAGGAGGCCTCAGGAGGCCCCAAGAGGCCCCAGGAGGCACCAAAAGGCTCATGGAAACCTGAGGAAGCCCCAGGAGTTTTCAGGAGGCCCCAGGAGGCCCCAGGCTCATGCGTAGAGACGCGCTCGTACTATTAAGACCAATTCACGCTCCAATTCATTCGCAGTTAGATACGTGACCTGTTACAACTCAAGCCCGCGTAGCGCCTATTTGTTCACTGCGGACAGGTCCATGCGAATAGGTGCACAAATGGGGAGCCCCACGCAGTGAACAATTACTGAGACCGCGCGGACCGAACACCTCCCACCGTCAGGTCATCATTCTCTGAGCTTCTCACATGTAGACCCACTCAACTTCAGACCCACTCATACTCATATACACTCGCTCTTGGATTGTTGATACTCAGGTTTCTCATGCTCTGGATCACTCATATGCAGACTACTTCCGCGCTCAGACTCCAACGCGCGTTGTGAGGATGTCTCAGGCAAGGCGTTGGGTTCAGTACCCCCAAGGGGGGCGCCAAGGGGCTATTGCAATCCTCCGTTCGCGCAGCGGTTTCCCTGTTATGGTGCACGACATCCTCCGTTCTCGGAGCAGATTTGGAGGATGTCTTGGGCGAGGCGCTCAGTTTCGCCTCTAAGGGGGAGCCGCCAGGGGGGATAGCAATCATCAGTTCGCGCCAACATGGCGGTGATGTCTCGATCGGTTTGCCTGCTTTGGTACCCGACATCAGGTGTCGGGGCAGATTTGGAGGATGTCTCGAGCGAGGCGCTCATTTTCGCATCCAAGGGGGAGCCGCCAGGGGGTATTGCATTTGTCCGTTCGCGCCAACATGGCGGGATGTCTCGAGCGGTCTGCCTGCGTTGGTGCCCGACATCCTCCGCTTTCGGTGCAGATTTGGAGGATGTTTCGGGCGAGGCGCCCACTTGCGTTTCCCAGGGGGAGCTGCCAGGGTGTACTGCATTCGTCCGTTCGCGCCGAAATGGTGGGGATGTATCTAGCGGTTTGCCTGTTTCGGTGCCCGACATCTTCTCTTGGAGGAGTTTCTGAGGATGTCTCAGGCGATGCGCTGGTTTCAGTACTCCCAAGGGGGGGGGCGCCAGGGGGAATATCACATGCTCGTTCGCGCCCAGATTCGGGGGATGTCTCAGGCGGTTTGCCTGTTTGGGTACCCAACATCCTTCTCTTTCGGGCCATGTTCTGAGGATTTCTCAGGCGAGGCGCTGGTTTTAGTACTCCCAGGGGGAGGGCGGGGTGCCAGGTTGTATATCATAACCCTGTTCGCGGCCAGATTGGGGGGAAGTCTCAGGCGGTTTGCCTGTTTGGGTGCCCAACATCCTTCTCTGTCGGAACAGTTTCCGAGGATGTCTTAGGCGAGGCGCTGATTTCAGTATTCCGAAGGGGGTGGTAAGGATGGATATCACAAGCCCATTCGCGCCCAGATTGGGGGGATGTCTCAGGCGGTTTGCCTGTTTGGGTGCTCAACATCCTTTTCTTCCGGAGCAGGTTCCGAGGATGTCTCACGCGAGGCGGTGGTTTCAGCATTCCCAAGGAAAGGCGCCAGGGGGTATTTCACGGGCCCGTTGTCGCATTCACGGATGGATCTTCCTGACAGGTGCTCGCAGGGAAAGGAGGATGGAGCGTGTTCTTGTTGATGGGCTCAGGGGCACAATGCCGAGCGACCTCGAGGGGCGAGTGTCGTGGCACACGTGCGGCTAGAACGTACGTAAGCTCGCGCGCGCGACACGCGCACGTGGCTCCTCTGCTCACAGGTTAGAGCGACGTGTCGCGACGCGACCCAGGCGGCGTTCTTCTCATCAGTTCGGCGCTCTCATAGGCAGCTCGGCGCTTAGAAGCATCGTCGGCGACCGTATAAGCGCCTACGACGCTTTTCTAACTGGCCCAAAATTCTAATTGTGGTAGCCTCGGGCCAGTGCCGCCAATCCAGGGCGCCTCCGATTGTGCTCGGGTTCGCTCGGAGGCCGACGATCTTATAACTGGCCCAACTTGTTCATTGCTCGCCAAGGCAACGTAAAACAACAACATACACCTATAAGCAGGACTCCAGGGCTGGCCCCGCGACGTTGCGAGGAGATCCCCGCACTGATCAGCGCGATGCGAAAAGCTGGGTGACCGAGCCCCTCCTCCTCCTTCTCCTCCTCTTCTCCTCTCCCTCCTCTTCCTCCTCCTTCTTCTCCTCCTCCATTTCCTCCTTCATTTCCTCCTCCTGATCCTCCTTCTCATCCTCTACCTCCTCTTCCCCCCTCCCCCTCCTCCTCCTCCTCCTCCTCCTCCTCCTCTTCTTGCTCGTCTGCCTTCCGTCGCTTTTCTGGACGTCCCCTCCTCGCCCTCCCGCTGTTCTTCCTCCTGCTGTTCTTCCCTCTCCCACGCCCGCCCGGCTACCCCCGCCTCGCCCTCCCACTTTATTCATCTCCATGTGATCTCCCCTCCCCGTTCCCCTCCTTCCATCCTCCTCTCTCCTCTTCTATCCCCTATCGCAGCATCCTGCTTTCACCTCGCTCGCCCATCCCTCCCTCCCACACTGTCACCCCAGATGCCCTCGGAGGCACAAGGAGGACCCCCCCCCCCCCCGAAACCGTCGCGACCGCCTCGATTTTCCCGAGGCGCCGTATGTGTCTTGGAGCCCCGCTCGGCATCCGGCCGTCGCGGCAGCTTGTGGCGTTGGCGGATGGCGGGCGGCGCCGGTGACAGCGTCGGTGCGATGGCCGGTGGTGGGCGGGCGGCGGGCGGCAGGCGGCAGGCGGCAGGCGGTGGTGGGCCCAGGGGTGGCCCCGGCGTCGTGTCTTGTTAGGAGTTATTTTTCGAGTAAGGGATCGACTGCATAATTGATTTACCCCAATATTGGTTGTCTCGTCGAATGTACGAAACATGCGTAGAGTGTTCGCGAGTAGGGAATCGACTACAGAACTGATTTACCTCAAGACTGATTTTCTTGTCGCATGTGCGAAAAGATCGCATAATGCTCGTAGAGCATTCCACGTGTTTTCCGTAACTTCGACGAGAAAAATTGATTCTGGAGTAACTCACTTCCGCAGTCCTACTCGAGTTTTGGCCTAAAGTGTCCCCGAGTTCTCGCGCCCTTTTGGAGCTCTTGCGGCCCCCAGGGCTCGCGAAGAGTGCTCTGGATCGAGGCCCTCTGGGCCTCCCCGGGGGCCCTGGGGGCACCTCGAGCCAGGGGCGCCCGTGGGCATCTCCCAGTGGCACTGGGCCCCGTGGTGGGCCCTCGACGCCGGCCAGCGGGCCCAGGGATGGGCGGGGCGGCCAGCGAGCGGGGGCGGGCGGGCGGGGCCGGTTCTCCGGTGGCGCGATCCCGGACATCTGGTGTTCTGTTTTCTCAAATGCTCGATGCCTCCCAGCCCAGGCCCCCTCGAGTCATGAAGAAGTCATGGCGGAAGGTTTTCTGCTGTTTTCGGCCTATGGGGGCCCTCGCCAGCCCTCGAGACCGTCAAAAGACGACTCAGGATGAAAAACCGGTCCAGGGGAATGGGTCGAGACCTCCAGGGGCCGACGCAATGAAAAAATCATGACGTCGGGGGTCTGGGAGATGGGGTCGGAGCAGCTTGGGTTGGAGGATCGCGCAGCATCGCCGATGCATCGGCGATGCGGCTCGATGCGGAGCCGACGTGGACGTCGCCGATGCGTCGCCGACGTCGGCGAGTCATCGGCGATACGCTGACGATGAGGCGCACTCCTCCGACCCCATCTGCTCAGACCCCATCTCGGAGGCCTCTACATACGTGGTGCTCCAGAGTCCCGACCCTTTCCCCAGGGCCCGTTTCTCCTCCCGAGTCTTTTCCGGCGCTCTCCGGGTCTGGAGAGGAGGGCCCCCAAACAGGGAGAACGACGAACAACTCCCCAATCGGGATGTGAGTTCTCGCGCCGTCTCCCCAGGCCTCAAGCGTATAGAAGACATCGGCTTACTTGACACGTTGGAAGTCTGGCAAGATCTGGGGCTCCGAGGCGCCCCTTCGTCCTTGTGTTAAGTCGGGCACGTCCCTGAGGAATATCCAAAAATAGCCAAAACATATTGTGGAGACGATTTGTCTTGTTTTTTTCGGCTAGTGTGGTGCGTGTTCGGATTAATCCTCAATCAGTGCTTGCCTGAAGGGGTCCTAGCGGAAATTTGAACGATTTGGCGAAAGTTTCCCGCCGATTTGGGTGGCTGGCTGGGTTCCCGGGTTCCCGGTTCCGGGTTCCCGGGTTCCTGGTCATTGGTTCCGGGCTGATTTGGGAGGGTTCCGGGTTCCCCGGTTCCCGGTCGATCTTTTTATCTATCTTTTTTTAATCCCATATCAAACCATCCATTGATGGCGCCTTTTCTCTGGTGTAATTTTTGAGCTTTCGCCCACAATCAGCCTGTAGGGGGACATGCCCGACCTAGTGCTTGTGGGCCTGTCAGGTCGGCCAGCTCCTGGTGGGCCAGCACCTGCTCGAGCGGGCGGCCTGCTGCCTCATGCGCAGCAAGCGCCTCCCGGTCCCGAGAGGGGGAGGAGGAGGAGGTGAAGGAGGAGGAGGAGGAGGAGGAGGAGGAGGAGGCGGAGGAGGAGGAGGAGGGAGGAGGCGCAGCTTGGGGCGCTACGCCTGGCGGGTGAGTGATCCATGTTCTCAGCCCCCCTCGGGCAATGACAAAGTTGCGACGGGAAGTTTTCGGCTGTTTTCGACCTTTGGGGGCCATAACCGGCCCTCGAGACCGTAAAATGACGACTCAGGATGAAAAATTAGTCCAGGGCAATGGGTCGAGACCTCCAGGGGCCGAAGCAATGAAAACATCATGACGTCGGAGGTCTGGATTATGATGTTCCAGGCTACTTTACTCCGAGTTTCTTAGTAAGCGTCGGGGGGGCGTCACCCCCGCCGACAGTCCCGCATCGACCCCCGTCGCGGGCAGCCACCGTGCGCCAGAGGCGCTCCGATCCCCCGTCGCGGCCCGACGACGAGGCGAGGTTGACCCCGTCGGGGGGGTACACCCCCACGCTTGTTAAGAAACCCAGAGTAGCCTTGATCGCCAGCAAGAAGTTCGAGCACTAAGAAAGCACCGAAACTGGAGGGTTTCTGCGTGTCGCGCCCTGCGAGGCGACAGTCGTTCGACACTGTTTCGATACTCATCCTGGGTGCTCGAAATTGTTGCTGGATGTGGTCCTGAAGTGCGATGGGAGCAGCCTAAGATCAATGGGGCATTCAAGACAAGACCTCATTCACAGGGACCGGAGGAGGTGTCATCTCTTCCACGGCTGAAGGCGGCGGAAGGAGAACGAGACCGCCTCCGTCAGCGGGAGCCGGCGTCAGGCCGGCGGGAGGTGGCGGAAGTATACACTGGCTTCCCAGGTGACGGCAAGGTTTTTGTTTCAGGGTTTCCGGAACAAGCCAAATAGGGAGGTGAATGAAGGTATCTTGTGCCTTGAACAAGCCCTAAAGGGGGGCCCCCAGGGGCTCCGTCGTCTTCGGCGTCTGGGGGCTCTCGTAGGGCCCCGGGACCTTCAAAAAGTCGTCCAAAACGAAAACCGGTCGGTCCTTGGGAAGGGGTCCAGAGCCCCGGGCACCCCTTATCAGAAGATCAAGACTCGTATCGGTGCGATCGAAGTGGGGATTCCAGCCTTCCAAGAAGAAGGGGGAGGAAGGAAGAGGAAGGTGCAACAAAAAGCTCTATGATTCCGCCTCTTCCCCGATCCTACCCGTCCCTCCGATCCTCTTCCACACCCCAGGAGGAGGCGGGAGCAGGAAGGAATTTGAAGAAGTGCTTTGTGATTCCGCTCCCTCCCAAACCATCCCCATCCCTCCGATCCTCCTCTTCTTCATCCCTTGTGGAGGCGGGATGAGGAAGCAGTTGCAAGAAGTGCGCTGTGATCCCGCTCCCTGCCCCTGATCCTCCTCCTAACCCCCGAAGGAGGCGGAAGGAGGAAGAAGTGCTCTATGATCCCGCTTCCTCCCTACTCCGCCTCATCCTTCCTACCCTGCTCCTCACCCCCCAAGAGGCTGGGAGTGGAAGGGGATGGAAGAAATGCTCTATGATCCCGCTTCCTTCCCAGTCATCCCCAACCCTCCGATCTTCCTACTCACCCACGGAGGACGCGGCAGGAGGAAGGAGATATGAGAAGTGCTCAATGATCCCGCTTCCTCCCCAATTCTCCTCATCCCACAGGTCCTCCTCAGTCCTCCCCCTCACCCCCCGAGGAGGTGGGAGGAGAAAGGAGACGGAAGACGCGCTCTGTGATCCCGCTTCCTTCCCAATCCCCTTTATCTACCTGATCATCCCCCTCCTCACCGCCAGAGGAATCAGGAGGAGGAAGGAGATGGACGAAGTGCCCTATGATCCCGCTTCCTCCCCAATCCCCCTCATCCCTCAGATACTCCTAACCCCGGAGGAAACGGGTGGAGGAAGGAGATAGAAGTGGTCTATGATCCCGCTCTCTCCCCAATCCTCCTCATCCCTCCGATCATCCTTGTCCTCCTCCTTGGTATCATCCTCCTCCTCCTCCTCCCCACCCCATCCGTCCATCCCAAGTGTCGGTGTGTCGGCTCAGGCCAGGACCGCGCAAGCGTGATCTGGTGGGCGCTTGCTTGTGCGGCTGCGCCCAGGCCAGCGCCTTTCAGCAACAGGCGAGCACAGCTGCCTGGGGAGCTGAGCTGCAGCGATGGCGGCATGGTGGTGTGTTCTGTCGGTCCTCGCGGTGTCCGCGGTGGCGGCTGGGGCCGCGGGCCTTGAGAACATGGAGTCGGCGGGGGGTCGGAGGTGGCCGAGCATTGGTTCTGAACAACAGGAATGGGTGAGGTTCGAGGTTTTCGGTTCGAGCGTTTTGTTTGTGCTGTGTCGATTTCCATGGGCCGTCTTCGGGCCCCGCTGGCTAATTGCGCGCACCTGTGCTAGTTGTATACACATAGGTGTATCTCTCTCCATACATATATATGAATGTATTTCTGTTGATGTGCATACACACATACATAATACATATATATATATACATATACATATATATATATATATATATGTAGCGCCGCGTTACTCATTCAGTTTGGGTTCATGTCTAGCTATAGGCCCGTGGGCCAGCTTGTTTAAGTATTCATGCATTTGTGCATTCACGCATCCACGGTTAAGTCTCTGCTTCTAGTTAGTTATACGTTCTCTTCTGCCCCGCGCGGTAAGACAACTTACCCAGACGTCAGTTACTCACGCAGCTCTTCCCGATCTGGTTAACTTGGCTGAGTACTACTAGCGTGCATGTGGTTGAGTACTACAGCGAGGTCTGGCGCGAGAAAAAGACGGTATATATAGACGAGAAAGAGAGAGAGAGAGAGAGAGAGAGAGAAATAGAGATGCAGAGAGAGAGAGAGAAGGACAGAGAGAGCAAAAAAGAGCAAGAGAGAGCGAGAGGTAGAGAGAGCGAGAGAAAGAGAGATAGAGACAATGAAGGATCACGAAAGAGAGAGACAGAGAGGGATAGTAACATAGAGGGGGAGAGAGAGAGAGAGAGCGAGAACGAGAGGATTGATATAGAGAGAGAGAGAGAGACAGGGAGAGTGAAAGCTATAGAGAGAGAGAGGGATATACCTACAACGAACAAGAACTACCGATATAAATATGTATATATATATATATACACGTATACGTATCACTCCGCAGATGCGGATAAGAGAGAGGGGCGGTGGGGACGTGGACAGTTTGCGGGACTCTGGAGAAGCCCGCCGCAGGCGACAACATTTTACAAATCATACAACGAGCCCGCCGCAGGCACCGATTTTTTCGTTAAAACAATGTGGGTCGGTCGCGGGTGGGTCGCGACTGGGTCGCGGGTGGGTCGCTGTTGGGTCGCGGGTGGGTCGCGGGTGTGGGGGGCAAAAAATCCACACCATAAGATTCCCCCCGACAAGCGAAGCCGTCTAGTAAACGCACACAAGGATTGAATTGAACAGGGCAGGGCTGTTGAGTAAACGCCCAAGGCCGTTCAGTAAACGTCAATTGTCGGGTCCGGGTGGTTTCTCCTCCTTTGAGGGTGGGTCGCGGGGTGGGTCGCGCGGTGGGTCGCGGGTGGGTCGCGGGTGGGTCGCGGGGTGGGTCGCGGGACGGTCGCGGGGTGGGTCGCGGGTGGGTCGCGGGTAGGTCGCGGGGTGGGCCCCCCCCCCCCCAGCGATCACCGTCGCTTCCTCCTCCTTCTCCCCCTCCCCCTCCTCCTCCTCCTCCTCCTCCTCCTCCTCCTCCTCCTCCTCCTCCTCCCCCTCCGCAGATGTTTTAGCCCATTTGGTCGAGCACCTGCTTGCCCGTGGGCCGCACGGCCGCACTTGCGGCCGCCCCCCCCCCGCCGCGCCTCCATGGTTTCGTCATCGCGATTGGAGTGGGTGATTCAGCAGCTGCTGCTTGGTCGCCATTGCAAGGTCAGGATGAACAGCCACGAGCACAAGTTCGTCCTCACCCTGGTCCTTTCAGCCATGTACGACGCTCGGATGGACAATGCCATTACGGTGTTGTTCATGGAAGAATTTCGGCAGCGCTTGCCGTACTATGTTGTGGTCGATCATGGGCACCAAACTTCTGCTGGAGAGTCGCACGTCAAGATTAGCTTCCGACACCGCTTTCTCCCTCATGCAGGTGCGGACCACGACCATGACGATGATGATGGTAATGACCCCCCCGACGGAGGTGATGGACATGATCATGATGCTGGAGACGGGGCTGCTGGCGGCGGACGGCGCGCTGTTGAGGGTCCTCATGGAGCCCCGCCTGGTGATCCTCATGGGACGGCGCGTAGCAGTGGACCTGGCGGCACTACGTGCGGCAATCCTTCCAAGCGACCTCGAGTACTCGCGATGCGGGAGCATGGCGCTAGTTGGGATGGTGATCGTAGTGTGGCTGGGTTTCCTCACATACCCTCCTTCCCCTTCAACGCGCACGCGCCCGAGTTCCGCGCGGAGGCCGTGGGCGATGTTCACATTTTGCTACGAGAAATGGTGCTTCATCAACAAGATGTTGCTGCTGAATGTTTTATGGACCGCCATTGTGACTCTCATGGTGGAATGGTGGCGTCTGCTAGTGGAGGGCATGGTGAGCTTCATGGAGAGCCTGGAGATCATTGTGATCGGTCTGGAGCTCTTCTACAGCCTCCATGAGGTCATAGTGCGGATCCTGGCATGCTGGACTGGGCACTGGCCGAGAGTCTCGGTGATGAGCACTCCCTCTACGACGCGGATCGTCCGAAGGATGACGCACAGGAGGATGTAATCGACGGTGTGCATTACGAATGTGGTGATTTTCCTGTGGCGATCGCGCGGTGCGTGGAGCTCGATCTTCTGGAGGAGCCGGCTCTTAGTGTGGAGCCTAATGTTCGGCGGGCGGATCCGGAGCCTGGTGTGGAACCCGAGCTTCGTGAGGAGTCCGATCTTCGCGTGGAGCCTGATGCTCGACCAGGGGAGCTGGATGGCGATCGTCGCGCGGAGGGCGATGTTGGAGTCGAGTCTGAGCTGTCCAAGAGTGCGAGACGGAGAGCGCGCAGGCGAGAACGAGCTGCCGAGAAAGTACAGGATCCTCTGGATGATGTTCCTCGGGTGGCGCCTGATCTTCGTGAACTCAGTGGGGAGCCTGATCGACGAGGGCAGTTTGGCCCTCATGTGGAACCTTATCTTCGCGTGGGGCCGGATCGTAGCGTGAAGCCTGAACTTCGAGCGGAGCCTGCTCTACGCGTGGAGCCCGTGGAGCCTCGTCGTCGTAGTTGCTTTCGTGTGGAGCCTGATTGGCGTGTGGAGCATGCTACTATGACGTTGAATGAGAAAAGTCGAACTGCTCGTACGGCGTGGGCTGACGAATGTGACGATGACCAACAGTTGGGAGGTGATGGTGTTCAGGCGGGCGGGCATGATGATCCTGATGGTGGTGATTACGGTTTGCATCCCAATGCTCAACGCGTGGAGCCTGATCTTCGTGCAGTTCCTGGTGGTCGTCGTACTCGTGCTGAGGGTGTGTATTTGGTGGAACCTGTTCCCCATGCCGTGCCTGTGGGTTCCCCACGTGCTGAGCGGGGTGTTCACCACGGTGGAAGTGGCGTTCATCGAATTGTGGAGGGCAATGGGCCCAAGGGAAAGTACTTCAACGTTGTCTTACAGCAGAGCTCACCTGCGGAGTCGATCGGGATCGATGTGGACCCCTTCCTGGACGGGCAGATGCTCAGGATCACGGGCATCAAGGACGGCTCTTTGATCAAGCAGGTGAATATGACCAACCCGACCAAGAAGGTGAAGATCATGGACATGGTAGTGGCCGTCAACGGCATGGACGGCAGCGTTAACGTCATGGCCGACGAGATTAAGAAGAACACCGCGATCGCGCTGCGCATCCTGCGTGGCCCTGGCCACGGCGGCAGCTGAAGGAGGGAGCGGCTTCGGCGGTCTGGCCCTTTTACGGGTCGGCACGGCCAGGTGGGTGCCTCGTCGGGGCGCCCCTGGTGATGCTGCATACCTCAGCAGCTCGTGAGAGCAGGTCTCGGCCTCGCCCCAGCTGCGGGGGGACCCCCCCCCCCCCCCCCCGCAAATTGCTGTCGCCCCCCCCCCATTCCAGCGGCCATCAGATGGGCCCGATCGAGTGCGAGCTCAATGCGTCGCGACGAAAATGAGCCAATGATCCCCCCCCCGCATGTAGATGAGGGCAACGCGTGCGACCCGTTGTTGCCCTCTTGCTTTCCTGGTGCTCGTCTTTTGTTTTCAATTCAGTTCGCTTGGAGTTCGGGTGCCACGGGGGCGCTCGGGGCGTCGCGGACCTCTGGGGCGGCGCAGGGGGCGGCGCCCTGTGCGGGCGCCGCCTCCGGCGCCGCGTCGACCTCGCCCGCGCCCATTTATCTCCGCGGGCTCCGCGGGCGCCTCGGTGCCGGAGCCGGCGATCTCGGGCGTCGTCTTTCCTTCCTGCGCCGCCTCCTGCTGGCCGCCCAGGACAAGCCTGAAGACCGCCGCCGCTCGCGTCAACATCCCCGCCGCGGCGCGGCCCTGGGCGGGGCGGGAGGGGGCGGCCGGCCTCGCTCCCGGAGGCGGCGCAGCTGCGCGCGTGGCGGGGCGCGCAGGGCCCCCCGCGCAAGCGATCGCGACAGGGCCCCACCCCCCCACCCACCCCGCCCCCGCCACCGCCCCCGCGCCGGTCCAGCAGCGGCCCCCGCAGCGATCGCGTTCGACTCGCGACTTTCAGTCCCCCCCCCTCCCCCAGCACTTCCCGCGTGCCCCGCCGCGGTGCCCTTCCCCCTGCGCCCGCCCATCGCCCCGTCCTTCCTCCTCTCCGACCTCCCCCAGCGATCGCGATCACCTGCCCCCGCCTCTGCCCCCGCAGTTGTGCGTGCTCTTGTCGCGGTCGCTGCCGCCTCCGCTCTCGCTGCAGATGCAGCTGCTGCCGCCGCCGCTGCCCGAGTGAGTAATCGCTATCGCGATCGCTCGTGCAACCGCTTCTGCATGTGAGCAATCCGCATCGCTCGACGCGCCAGAATATTCCATTGCGCGCGTCAGCGGCATGATTGGCGATGCCAGTCGGGCAGGCCGCCGCGGGGGCTGCCGCGAAGCAGCGTCCATCCGCGTTTCGGAGCTCTGCCGCAGTACTCCGCGTGCAGTTTGCATTTGCGCGCCCGCTGTGCCTCCCCAAGCTTCGTCTTCTGCGCGGCCGCCTACCTCTTCGCGGCGCGGCCTGTTTCTCGCTGCCGCCGTTGGCGGCGGGACTCAGCGCCGGGGCTTGCAGCCTCAGTCAGACATGTGACGCTTCGAGCGGGCCACCCGATCGAGCGCGACGGCCCAGCGGATTTCCCCCCCTTGGGCCGTGGCCTTGGCGAAGATCTTGGCAGCGCCCGCGCCCTTCTTCTCGACGCCCTGGTGCTTGGGCGAGGCATCGGATTTGGCCGCGGTCTTGGCTGCGGCCTTGGCCGCGGAGGGCGGGGCGTTGTCGTTCGCCCCCCCCACGTGGCACTCGCGACCAGCCTCGCTGCCGCAGTCGTCGCTGTTGCTCTGGTCGTCGCCCTCGCTCGCGGGCGTCGGCCTGGTCGTTTACCTGGCGCCGCCCAGCTACGAGCCGGTCCTGCCCCTCGCCTCTTCCACGCTCGCCTGCGACGTCGGGGCCGCCGCGGCATATGGCGCGGCGGGCCGCGGCGCGTCAACCAGTGGGATCGGACTCTGCAGGTCTGGTCGGCGCGGCCTGCGTGCCCGACGCTGCGTTGGCGCCGCATCTTTCGCCGTTGCTTCGCGCCCATTCGAGAGCGAAGGCCTTGTCGCCGACGCCGACCCCGCCCCCAGGCGAACTTTGGACCCTCGCATCAGCGCCGCGTCGCGCAGCGCGAGACACCTTGCGGCGTCGGGCGGAAACGACCGCCGGCGCTCGACGTCGCGAAGCGCCGACCGGTAGTTCCCTAGAAGCGACTTCTTCGTCGTGTGATCCATCATATTTGTTGCCCTCGGCGAATGCAACCTCTTCGCGAAATCCCCGGCCCGCGCGCAGCAACCCCGCTGGGCGCGCGGGCGCGGGCGCGCCGGCTTTGCGGGTCCGCCAGCCGTTAACGCAATCCGCGCATGCGACTGGAAGAGTCGGCTCGCGACGCGCGCGCCGGCCGAGGGCCTTGGCGGCCAGCAGCGCCACCTCGCGACGCGACGGAAAAACTGCATCTCTCTCCGCTGGCCACGCTAGTCCAGTGCCCCCAGATGGCAGCGCAATTCCGAAGCCACTCTTTCGCCGCAGGCGCCATCGCCGAAGCGGCCGCGGCATTTTGGTTCGGCTGTCGCGCCGATTTTGCGGCTGGGACAGTCACTCGGACGGGCAGCTCTGCCATCTGCTTCTTGTCGGATGGCACCTGGCTGACATTCGGCGCCGGCGCCGCCAAGCTCTCAGCGGGCGCGAGCGTCCACGACGCCATCTCTGCCATGGCTGAGTCCGCCCGGGCGGTGAGGGTTCCCTTACGGGCCGCCCTTGCAGCCCTCGAGCAGCGCATTTGCAGCCTCGAGCTACGCCGCCAGGTCGCGCACCTTCCGCGCGCGCGCTGGTCGCGCGCCCGCAGCGCGCGCCAGCAGCCAAAGGCTGCAGCGCGCGCGAGCGTGGGTCGGCATTGCGGCCGACGCGCATCCATCGCCATCGCCGGTCATCGCTGCGGCAAGCAGGACACTGACGACGACGGTGACAAACATGAGCATCGTCTATGACGACAGCAGCGGTCGGAACCGCTAAAGTGTGAGTCGCTAGTGCACACAGTCGATCGCAATCGCTGGGGCGGGCGATTCCGCTGATGCATAGATGCGTTAGTACGTAGATGCAAACACGCATGTGCATATGTGTGCGTGGGAAAAGTAAAACCATACATACAGGGAGGCGGAACGTGAGAACGAGAGTGAGAGGGGGATGAAGGGATAAGAGTGGAGAGACAGGGAAAAACAGAGAGAGAGAGAGAGACACACACACACGACATTCAGAACGGGAGGGATCGAGATGGAGAAAGGATGGATACAGACAGAGAAAACAAATATGTATAGACATATATATATATATAGAGAGAGAGAGAGAAAGAGAGCAAACGATAAATCTATATATGCACAAATATATTCAAATCTACATAACATAATAGAGAGAGATACAGACAGAGAAGCAACAAACACAAAGAGAAAGAGAGAGAGAGAGAGCGAGAGAAAGAGAGAGAGAGAGAGAGACAGAGGGACCCACCCTCCCTGGGCGCTGTCCTCGCCGTGGTTCGCTGCTCCCGAGCGAGCCCGACGCCTGTTGCAGTTGCGCTACTTATCACGAGTGTAAAGGTACTGTTATGTACGGCCTCAGCGTGCGTATAAGTAACTTACTGCATGACATTTCGCTGTATTATGTTGAGGTATTTGTATGAGCTGCGTACATGGATAAGTATCTAAGCTTCAATCTGCGACGAAGTTGGTTATATGCAGCACAAGTATGATGAATCAGTAAGTTGGACTTTCAAAATAATAAATCCAGGGTGAAGGTGACACCAGATGGGCACCTGGAGCGGACCAGGAGGGGTGCGGGACGGGTGTGGGGACAGATTTAAACGCATTTGGTTTCGTTTCTCCCTTCTTGATTGATCTTCTCGGAACCGGACAAGCTCAGATCCCGCGGCCACCTCCAACCGAAGACGTGCGCGCAGAGATCGCAGCCCTGCGCGCCGAGCTGGACGAGGTCCGGCACCTCGAAGAGCAACACGCGACGGCAGAGCAGGACAGGCGCTTGAGCTCCACCGAGAGTGCGATGACGAGTTCGTGGCTGATCCTGTGTGGGTCGCTCGCGATGTTCATGCACGCGGGCTTCGCGATGCTGGAGGCCGGGACCTGCAGGGCGAAGAACGCGTCCAACGTGTTGGTGAAGAACCTCGTGGGATTGTGCGTCAGCACGCTTGGGTTCTACTGGACGGGCTGGGCGTTTGCCTACGGCGCCGGGTCCGAATCCACGCCGCAGGTGTCAGAAGGGGGGAATGGTTTCGTCGGCACCGATGGATGGGCCGCCAAGGGCTTCACCATCGATGACCCTGAGGGGAACATCACGCCTACGGGCCTTCAGTTGGATTGGTTCTTCCAGTGGGCCTTTTGCAGCGCCGCCGCGACCATCGTGAGCGGCTCGGTCGCTGAGCGTGTGCTCAGCCCCGCTTACGCGATCTTCGCTTTCGTCATGGCCGCCTTCATATACCCTGTCATCGTGGCGTGGGTCTGGGGCTACGGGTTCTTGGGCACGGATTAGCATATCACCTACCTATCCCCGCCCTCCCTGCCTGTGATCCAGCTGCCTGCGACAGACCTTGCAACCGTGACAGCGCACCGCCGAAATGAATGCGTGATTGTCCAGCTGAGCTCTCCTGGACGCGCTCGATCAGAATCCTCTCAGGGTCTTGTGTATAGCAGCGCCGCTATGCTGTTTCGTGGCGAGGCCATGGCATTGCACGCTTGCGCCCCGTGTCGGGGGATTTTGGGTAGCTTCTTGGGGCCCTATTGGCGTCTTGGGGATGTCTCGGGCGCGATCGTCACACCAGGCTCTTTCGAAGAGACGCGGTAATCCTGCAGGGTCTTTAGAAAGCCCTTCAATAAGGTGTAGTTAATCAGAGTGAGGGGGCTGACCCGAACGGTCATTCATCGTCCCTGGGTGCGTGGTTGAAGTGGAATTCCGCGATGTGGATTCTTGTTGTTGTTGCTGCTGTTGCTGTTGTTGTTGCTGCTGCTGTTGTTGTTGTTGGCGTTCTTATTGTTGGTGTTGTTGTGGTTGTTTGTTGTTTGTTGTGTGTTGTGTGTTGTTTGTTATTTGTTGTTTGTTGATTGTTGGTTGTTGATTGTTGTTTGTTGTTTGTTGTTTATTGTTTGTTGTTGTCGTCGTCCCACCCGCGACCCGCCCCGCGACCCACCCGCGACCCACCCCGCGACCCACCCGCGGCCCATCCGCGGCCCACCCCGCGACCCACCCGCGACCCACCCCGCGAACCACCCGCGATCCACCCGCGACCCACCCCGCGACCCACCCGCGACCCACCCCGAGACCCCCCGGGCGACCCACCCGCGACCCACCGGCGAGCCACCCGCGAGCCACCCGCGACCCACCTTGCGACCCACCCGCGACCCACCCGCGACCCACCCGCCACCCACCCCGCGAACCACCCAAAATGTTCGGCGATTGCGGCGGGTTTCTTTTGCACTCGTTCCAGGTGGAGAACCTGCGACCCACCCGCGACCCAAACCGCGCCCGCGACTTCTTTTCGCATTCGTTCCAGGTGGAGAACCTGCGACCCACCCGCGACACAAATTACGTTCATTGAACAAGCCAAAACTTCGGCGCCTGCGGCGGGTTTCTTTCGCATTCGTTCCAGGTGGAACACCTGCGACCCAAACCGCGTTCAGTGTACAAATCAAAATTTTCGGCGCCTGCGGCGGGCTGATTTTGAATCCCTTCCAGGTGGAGGTGGACAGCCCGTGACCCACCCGCGACCCAAACTACGTTCATTGAACAAGCCAAAACGCCGGCGCCTGCGGCGCGTTTCTTTCGCATTCGTTCCAGGTGGAGAACCTGCGACCCACACCGCGTTCAGTGTACAAATCAAAATGTTCGGCGCCTGCGGCGGGCTGTTTTTGAATCCCTTCCAGGTGGAGGTGGAGAGCCCGCGACCCACTAGCGATCCAAACTACATTCACAGAACAAGGCAAGATTTCTGCGCTTGCGGCGGGCTGTTTTTGAGTTCGTTCCGACGACGACGACGACGACGACGAGGAGGAGGAGGATGAGGAGGGGGAAAAGGAGGAGGAGGAGGCGGTGGAAGAGGAGCAGGCGGACGACGACGACGACGACGACGATGAGGACGAGGACGCGGACGAGAAAGAGGAGGAGGAGGAGGAGAAGGAGGAGGAGGAGGAGAGTGAGGAGGAGGAGGAGCAGGAGGAGGAGGAGGAGGAGGAGGAGGAGGAGGAGGAGGAGCAGGAGGAGGGCGCCATCGACAGGGAAGGTGAGGGCCACGAGGTGTGCCCGCCAGACGCCCGCGTCGCCCGCGCCCGCCCCCTCACTCTTATGTGCAACTGCGGGGTGTTACGATATTCTTTCGGAGGCCTTATTCACGAATTGGTGCCCCACCTATCGGGGGAATTCATCATGGTTTCCCCGCGGCACCCGCTGCGCAACAACGACGCCGACAGCTACGACTACATGTGCGACTACGGTGACAACGACTATGAGTCATTAGTCTTCAGGGGCGCTCTCATGGCAAATCTTGGCTCAGAGACGTGATTCTCAGAAACTTCATCAAATTTCCATCTTGAGAAGGTCTGTCGAAACTCAGTCCTTGCGCGGGCTCTCAGAGACTCCATCCTCAGAAGCTTCATCCTCAGAAGCTTCATCCTCAGAAAGACTGTTGAAGCTCAGGCCCCACGAAGCCTGCAGAACTTCGCAGACACTCCACCCCGCGATCCATAGCGCAATCGCATACATATGTTTTCAAAATTCCTCTGTCGTGCAGGGTTTCCCAGAGAGCAGTTTTCCCTGGAAGAAAGAACCCCCCAACATTATCCAGCCCGCCCAACAATAGAAGGAAAAACATCTCCGCCGCGACGAGGTTTCCGGATCAGTCCGATTCACAGCCGAGAGAAGAGTGGGGACCAAAACTACAGACCCTCTACGGTTAAAGCAAAGTCGGGGCCGTCAGGTCAGGTCTTGGGGATCCCCAGTAGCCTTCGGGGCGTTCGGGGCCGTCGTGAGGCTCTCTTAGGGTTCCCTCAGCGCCGTCCCGTGGACAACCGGGGCCCTCCGAGGCCGCGCCGGGGCCCCCGGAGAGCCACATGTTTCTCGAGTGTTTTCGGGCTCTTTTGCTGGATTGCTCCGTAGGCGCTTCTGTTGGGCCCCCTGAGGCCTAGTGCAAAGTCTTGGGAGCGTCTTGAAGCTCCCTGAGGTTTTTCGGTCCACCCCGGGTTTGTTGCCGGCCCTTTTGTGGCAATATTGGCCCGTCTTGGGCCGTAGTGGGACCGCCTTGGCAGTGTAGAGAGAGAGAGAGAGAGAGCCAAATATAAAAACGCAGAGCAGCTTTCACAATCTAGCGCGCATGCCCGAAGCACGGCATGTACTCGTGGCTATTGTTTGCATTATACAAATCTGTCTTTGTGTGGCGGGATGTATTGGATGTGTTCCTATTGGCTGGGATTTGGATATGTCCCTGGCGGTTCTCGCCCCGTGTTTCTCCAATACCCCAGTGTGCGCACATCTCGGGGAGGGTCTTTTAGCCGGGCGTGGTCTTGCAAGCCCGGCTGTTCGATGGTCCTTTGTCTTTTGTTTGCGTTGCCCCCGCTTCCGCTTCCAGATGCGTGGCCCCGCAGCTGCCTCAGGGCCGCGCCCAGCCCCTGCAGGCCCCGCCCCACCAGAGCCAGCCCAGCCCCCACGAAGCTCCGGTTTCCCCCAGGGGGTGGGAGGTGCGCGGGCAATCCGCAGCTCGCTGGAAATCCTACCCCCAAGCAGGCCCCAAAGGCACCATTAGGAATTGAACCCAAGAAGGTCAGACTGTGGGAAGGGGTGTCCCCCATTTTACTACAACGCAGGCGTATTTATAGGAAGGAAGGGGCCATCTTCTGCTTGCCCCATTCTACGGCACGTCGCCTATTCTTGGTGGTCGTCGTCGTTGTGGTGGTGGAGGTGGCGGCAGTGGCGGTGGCGTGCGCGGTGGCAGTGCGGTGGCAGCGGTGAACGCAGCCGTGGGGGGGGCGGCGGCTGTCGTCGCCGCGGTGTTGGTAGTGGCTTTGCATGGGCGGCGGCGGTGACAGTGGCGGCAGCAGCGGCGGCGGCGAGCGCGGCCGCTGCAGGGGCTGAAAAGGCTGCGGGGGCCGCGGTGTTGGGTGCCTCGGGCAAGCAAGCAGCGGCCGAGGCGGTGGCGGCTGGGCAGCCAGTGGCAGTGGGAGTGATCGTGGTGCGGGCGGCAGAGGCGGGCGGGGCGGGTAGTGGGGCCTTCGGTGGGGGCGGCAACAGCAGCGGCGGGGACAGCGATAGTGGTGGGGCAATGCTGGGCGGGGGGCGGGGGGGGCGGTGGCCGCGGTGATGGTATTGGCTGCGGCGTGCCTGGGGCAGGCGCGTTTGCTTCCTTGCTGGCCAGTGGCGGTGGATGGCTGGGTCGCGCTGGGGGGGGGTGCGGCGGGGGGTGGTGGCTGTCGGCGCAGCAGCGGCGGCGGTGGTGGGCCTGGGCGGCAATGCCAGAGGCAGCGGCAGGGTTGGCGGCCGCGGCGGCAGCGGTGGCGGCGGCTCTCGCATTGGTGGCGGTGGCTGGTGAGGGCTGGGGCTGTCAGCCCCCCCCCAGGCTTTCGAGGGGATCTGGCGCTTGCGGCGCCAGGGCCTTTGGGGGCCTCAAAGCCTTTCAGGCACACCAGAGGGTAGCTCGCATCTGCGTCTGACAGGGGGGGCCCTGTGCCAGGCGCCTACCTTGCATGGGGGCCCCGGGGGGCCCTTTGGTTTCATCCAGGGACCCCGAATTGGGGATGTCTTGCCTCTGCGCAGCGCGTCTCCGCATACGGCGCTCATTTGTCTGAATTTCAGAATCCCTGAGTATGCAAAGCTCTAAAGACATGCAAACGGCCTTACTTGCACAGAATCCTTTCTAAAGTGATTCCCCCTGCAATGGCAATGGCAATGGCGATGGCAATGCTAGGACAATCCCCCAAGGAGGCTGCACAGGCCCCACCAGGAATTGAACCCAAGAAGGGCAGAATGTGAGAGATAGGATGCCCCATTTCACTACATTAGCAATATTTTACCTCGGAGGGTTGGGCATATCACGCCTGCTCCATTCCATTGAATTGTGTCATGTCACTACATTG